AAATCGAAATTAGAACAAATATTCTTGCAATTATTGCCGTTTCGAATGTTGCATTTCGTAGACATGTACTGAAATGCTTCTGTGCATTGGAGTTTACATGTTCTAATTTGCATATCTTGAAACATTTTAAATTGTCTCATTTGAAATAAACAAAGCTTTTTGTGCACGAGTATTATAATATGAAAGGCCACTGATAGAATGGCTAATTGCTTCGAAATTAGTTCGCAAATTTCGTCAAACAACGACAGTTTACAAATTCAAATTGTAGCCGTGTATTTGGATAAAAAATTACGCTAACACGAATTACCAAATCGAAGTTGTTAGAAGCATTAACCCAGCTGTCTTATGGCTGCACAGTTCTGCAATCACTCACCTTGTAATTATGCGGTCTAGAAAATGCTAGTTAACTCATTCGAGTGGCGAGAAGTCTATTCGACGCCTATGTAAAAATATTTTGAACATTTGGACAACTATAAACATTTAATAAGAGACCTAGCATTGTAGCTTACACTCTGCTTGAAGACCGATTTGATTACTTAAATCAAATATTTATTCAAGAAACTAAACCCAAACACCTTGAACATTAAACCTTGAAGCCGAATAAACGAGTCGGACGATACCGAAACAAGCACTCCTGCGAACACTATAAAATGTTGATTATTAAACACACGATATAGTAGCGTGCCATTCAATGATTGAAATAAACAACAACTCTTACCTGGCTTAAATCGTGAACAAGGCTCGTCTCATAACAACGTTTATCGATTCATTTCGCCTTTAAAGCTCGCTAGCACGAAATCCAAATCCACACAAGCACTCCGTTGACAAAAGCACAATAGATTCGTGGATATTTAGTCCTTGTAAATCGATATTTTCACAATGAAACGCGGTACTATACGAAACTTAGCCATTTTGCTCGCACGGAATCCAGACTTTGCGATAAACCGACACGTGATACAGGATTTATTAAGCGACTCGAAATTTCCACGCGTGTCTCGAACTAACCTGAAGTTCAGGCCCTATCACAGAATAGGGCCTGACACAAAACCTATCTAAAGTCTGGGATTCCCGTCCACCTGGTGGACGGGAAATCTGATTGGTTGATCAGCATCATGAAGGATTTTGATTGGTTGCAAGTTCACATAAACAACAGTTTTAAAAATAGCTCGGTCAAGGCGAGAATTAATATAAAGGTCAAACGCACGTAACAAATTCCATTATCGATTTCTTCGAATTTCTTTTCTTTTATGCTTTATGGCAGAAAATAAATCAAACAAACAGTACTTTGAAAGGGCTTCATCAAAATCTTTGACGAATTTTGGACACACGACGCTGAAAGAACAGCCAAACTAGTCATGTATTCGAAAGCTTCTTGTTGACAGCCAAGATCAGTTCTGCCAACTTGCTTCGCCGGCAAAAGTCTTATTTTTAATATCAGGTCCTACCGGCGTTGTTTTCTGAGCTACATCGCCTTCTTCGTGGTATGATTGAGAATTTAATTGTTGCTGTTATTAGCCCATTTAATAGTCGTTAGAGTATATCCGCGTCCAGCAAGTTGAGACCTTGAGAAAGCTTGGCAGTCAAGCCGTGCACAGAACTGACTAATTAAATCTTTGTTTGCTGTTCGCCTGTTCGGTTAAATAGAGAAACTGGCTCTTAATTATATAAAAGTACCTTGAATTTTTAAGTTTAATTATTTTGTTTAATTTTAATTATAAATTTTTTGTGTAACGAAATCTACAACACTTGTCAATCATATTGCATGTGTGTCTAAAAATAACATGTGGGCGTCCCACGGTCTAGACAGGTTTTGTGTCAGGCCCTATTTCAAATAGGGCCTGAACTTCAGGTTAGTCTCGAACCGACCGGAGCGAGCTGTGACGTCAAGCGCGAGAGTTCGGGCCAGATTTATTTCAGCTTTACGGAGTGAAAGTGACGTCCCGAATAAGTGCAACCGACCCAACAAATTCCACTATAGGGAAGATGTTGTCACTATGTCGCACGTATCAGATAAATTAGCTTTTTGAGTTATGGGCTTATGTATGGTTGCTATAGGTTTGCCAGATATAATACACACTCTAGAACATTTTCATCTTATATATCTTATATATATATATATATATATATATATATATATAATATTAATGAGACCAAAGATGATCAAATTTTACAGTGTAGAAAGAGTGCTCAATACCATTTAATAACGTAGAGCAAATAATTTAATTTCTTAACTT